TGTTGCACTCCCCCTCCTCGCTAGACAACCACGAGCAAGGTAGCGTTGAAATACGCCTTAAAATCTGTGTTTTAGTAGTCTTGTTAGTATAGAATGATTATACAATTCAATAAACCGGATTATACCGCAACTTCGTGCCACTTTCTTGTTTCTAGAGGCCTAGCAGTTCATTTAAACAGGCCACGGCTTTATGGTCTTTCTGTATGTGGATGCAGTATCGTTTCCACAGGTATTAAGAAAAGGATTTTATTTTGCAATCCCTGATAGTTGGTGTACTGCAAAACTACCATGGAGAATGACTAAAACAAGAGATTACTTCGAGCTGTGCGACAATTGCTGTTTTGTGAACACCAGGTATACAGCGCTGGTATGGAGTGAATGCTAGCTTATTAAGCACTTCGACCCTTTTCTTAACGCGGTTACCGTCTACCAGCGTTTTCAGGCGAGGCAGCCGCCAGCTAGAAACCAGACAGTTCCACTTCACGCATCGTTTAAGCATGCACAGACATGGACCGCATATAGCAGTGAGTGTTTCTCCTCGTCAGATTTGTTAGAACGATGACGAAAAAACGAACAAAGTACGTTCATAGTTCATTGGTGTTTCTCTTCTTAGGTGGGAGGCATCTAAAATCGTGTTTCTGCTGTCAGTTTTGCTGCCTCCCTCCCCTACTTACCAGTCGTTAGTCTTCACCTACCATGATAACAAGCTATAGATGGTGATCGCAAGACCGTTTTTCACCATTCTGCCTTTGAAAAATATGGCCCATCATCGGTCGATCGATATTTTTCCTCTATTAACTCGCTGTTTGCACAGCTTGCGAACTCGCTGCGCCGCTGATTAATGAGTGGTGCCCGCGAAGCAGTTCGAATCCGATGCCAAACAGCTGGTCCGAGTGGAGTTTGTTTCGACGAGGCATTTCCTCGAGACTCCACCGGTCCATTGACGAGGCACGGACTCGGCGCGGATGATGACATGCTGTGTCGAGCTATGCGCTGTTGTAGCGTTGCTTTGTGGGTCATTTGGAGTGGAGAAATGACACTTGACGCCTTGAACAAGTCTCACATCATCACGTCGTTGTTATTGCACCATTTTGCGAACTGTGTCATGCGACCAGATCCCTGAGTTCATCTTCTGTTAATATGCTCTGAATTTTAATTACAGCGATATTTCATTATTATTTTTCATAGACCATTTGAGCAAACGAGATTCTAACTCAGGCGATGAAAAGATATTTATTCCGAAAATGTTCTCTAGATCCTCATCTATTATAGACTTGTCTTAATGTGCATTTAACGTAGCATTGGCTTTGATTCAATGAATTGCTAAAAAAGGGTGTGTAGTGGCACTCTGGCTTGTTCGATCTAGATTCGAATTAGTGTTATCTTTCGTTGAAGCGGTTGGTCACAGAATTTCAATTGAAAGTGCCGTTTAATGGGTGCGATTCCTTGCGTTGAAGCATCGCGATGTAATCTGACAAATCATTCAGTGTTGCAATACAACCGCAAACATAATACTGACACTATATGACGCATACGCTGTAAATTTGTAAATAAAGTTATTCAGTGACCAAATTAGCAGCAATCTTATGGACTGCACCAAGAAAAGGTTAACTTTAAAGAAGAATATAAATACAGTTTTTATGGGTGGGGCCAGTGTCAGGGAAGGTAAATAGTTTTCTTTTTACTTTAGGCGCCGAGTTCC